TTTCGGTTAGAGTTTCAGGATGTGACCCTTAGAGAAAACCACTTACTTCATTTTCGGCATCCGAGCAGTATTCAAGCCCACTAATAAACTTATTAATTTGTATGGCTTATGAACATTTAGATACCCTATTTGTATTAGTGTTTATGTGTTTAAATAAATAAGTAAACAACTTTTAATTCTGCAAACTTTTTGACCATCATAAAACTGATTTTGTTAAATTCATTATACTTTTTATTAGATAGCTTATATCGATTCTGATATTTTAGCCTCCATTCAATTTCTTAACTGGAAGATTAACAAATGAACCTTAGTTGATTAAAGTTATGTAGTTTGAAAGTATATCATTCATATAGAAAGTTTCACTGATTTTATGATTTTAATGAATTCAACATTTTCTTGTTACTGTAATTGAGAGTTGAACAAGTATTTTATTTATCTGAAATTCACCGATTGAATAGCATTGAAATTTTTAAAAAATATGAATATAAATCTAAAATATTTTTGGATGCTCTTTTTACAAGTATTTGTACTTTCCCGTTACTTATGTTACAGTTTGCAATTGAACAGTTTATATATTGATATAAATGAATCGGAAGCAGATTGCATCAATGTCATTATTTAGTCAAAAGTTATTAACAAAACTCTAAATATCGGAAATTATCAATACTCACATTCATTGCCAAATCTAGTGATTATCTAAATTCAGTAGTATAGTGAATAATGAGTTGTTGTTCAGTTATTCTTACTGTCGATGAGGTTGTTGTTCTAATGACTATTTTATTTCTTCAATTAACATACAGAATATAAATGATAATTTGTAATTTCACTATCTCTTTATATTTGTAACATTTAAGGTGCTAATCTTTTAATCGATAGTACTGGAACTGTTATCAAAATATCCGATTTTGGTGCATCAGCTCGTTTAAGTGGTGAACAAAGTGTTGCTGGTCAATTTCAAGGTCAAGTTATTGGTACATTTTCATTTATGGCACCAGAGGTAAGATAATAATTCTTTTTTTTTCATTCATCCATTTTATATTAACTAATTAGACTGTATATATGATTGCTATGATGTGGGCTCCATTGATTGAGATGATTCAATTGAATAAACTAAAATGACAAATCACCATCACTTCATCTTTATCTTCGTTGGAAATCTTTCGAACTCTTACATGTCATAATTCGCTTTTTATTTTGTTGAAAATAGTTTTAAACTGATTTTCTTAATAATATCAGCTGGAAGAGAACCATTAATAATTGATGGGTTTCAGATAGATGTTTCATTCTAACTCTAAACTTTTCTACAATATTCACTCTACAATTCTACATTGGGTCACTTAGGATTGTCAGGTCTCATAGTGAACACCATACTACTAAACTGGGATGCAATGGTCAATACATTAACAATCTAGCAATAATCACCATCTACTGTTTATATTACGCCTACTGTTCCCACTGCTCTCATTGCAACTACTACTTACCACACGTACTAATCATACTATTCCTACTATAAACAGTATGGGAAGGGTTGTGGAGATTGTCAAATGTTAATTAAGATCACGAAAAGTAAACCAATTTAGATTGATCAGAATTGAACATTAACACCGCTGAATGACTGCTCAATGGTCCGGAGGTTAGGCGGTCACCCGCAACACTGAGGTTCCTGAGTTCGAATCCTGTGAGTGACAGGAGTCGGGGAATGAGCACTGTTGATGAGTCCCATACCAGAACGATACGGCCTCCTAGTGCTTACACCTTTCTGACAGCGATCAAACAATGATTTATTCATGAAATCAATATAATTATAAAACCATGAAAAACGTGAAAGCATTGAACGTTGGTTGCATTTATGATAAGCTGAAAAATAAAATCATTTGATTGTGTGTGCATTTCGTTTCCATGTAGAGGAGGTTTATTTTGTTCAGTAAATACTTATTATAGTTTTCTTTAGTTTCTCTATATTAAAGTGATGAACAATGTGTATAATTTTTTCTTGTTAATATTACCTAGGTCTTACTTAGATATTGTCAAACAATGTAGATGTCATTGTGATGTGTATTTTTTTAATAAAGAAAAACATTTTTTTTCTATATATATATTAACAGGTGCTTCGAGGTGAAACATACGGTAGAGCTTGTGATATTTGGTCTGTTGGTTGTTGTTTAATAGAAATGCTTACAAGTAAACCACCATGGCATGATGCTAGACTAACAAATCGTTTTGCTCTTATGTTTACAGTAAGTGTACATTGGAGTGTGTATGTATTATGTTTATCACATTATATAATGATAATAATTTGTAAAGATTGTAGAATTTTCATAGTTTAATTCATGAACTAACCTTAGTTATACCGTCATTGAAAACCCAGAAGCACCGAAAGGCCGTTTCATCCTAATATGGGCCTCTTAGCGGTGCTCACTAGTGGCTCTATCGGGGAGTCAAACCCAAAACCAGTTCCGTACTCGGATTCTTAACTTCTTCGCCACCCGACTTAGCATCCAACAGTGTCATTGTGTTAGATCCGATCAATCCACAAGCAATTCTCATTCATTACCTGTAATGGATAATTTCCTCATACTCAATACTAATGATAATAATAATAGGTTTCACATGATAGTTGCACTTCTTTGAATTCAAGAATCCAGATGAAATTAGCCAAACGCTTAAAATTCACTTTTAATCTAGTTAAAAATTTAAATCGTATATGTTGCTTTTAAAAAATAATAATAATTAGTGAAATTATTATCATAAAAGACTAATGTTTATGCGTGTGTCAATTGTTTGTTTCATGTCGTCTATCTGCATATATGTGTGTGAGTGGGTTAGATGCAACAAAGTTTAAGACTGTAAATTGTTTGCTTTGATTGTGTTTATTCATCTCTTTTTATTTTCTAATTAAAGACTGTGTTTCATAACTGTGAATGAATTCACAATTGGTTTTTTTTCTCAACCTTTTTTTAAAAATTTCTGATACACTTAAATAAGTTCATTCAGTTGTTGATATTAGGGATTGAAGTTTAATCAGTTTATTGACGTTTGTGTACATCCTGTGCTGACTGACTCGATACTAGGCATTATTTCACAAGCTATTTACAATGGATACAATATAGCTGATCATATGACCACGTACACTAAGACCTGAGCGTAATCAGCTGACAAATCGTTGAGATTCCACTGCTAGTCATGTTCCATCTATTGCATGTAACAGCATTTGACTGATTAATAAGTTTTAAGTTTTTATTTAAATATTTAACTTTAACCTTCCTACAAGAGATTAGTTGTTGACCGAATAACTACATTATAACATTTATTTTTCTCTAGATTATGTGTGTAAATGTACCACACCCATATGTATCAGGATGGATGAAACATTTTTATGTAGGTCTATATTGGGTTCGTCACTTAGGATGCTTGAGGCTATTACGAGTTTACCTTAGTCGATAAACGCGAAGGAGACTTTTACCAGCGTCCAGGTAGGCTACCTTGAATCCCAAAGTAAGGTAAGAAGACTTTGTAAGCGTAGAAAGTATATTCTACAAACACACAGCAATCACAACACAATATAATCAAGCACACAACTCTCGTTTATTTATACATCATAGAAACGTCCTTGGGACAGTTATGAAAATAGCATACTAAAATACAGAGCAACCAATCACAGCCATGAATTTTCCCGGCGGGAACTGAAATCCCAAGGTTAATTGATCAGACCATGCTGGCGAACATAGAATCCAAAATAAGGCATTTTTCAAGCGAATTTCGGGGACCTAACTTCCCCTACAGTCTATAGTGGTTCTTTGCATTTACTCTTGTTTATTTCACATCATTCATATTCCATCTGAAATTTGCTAGTAAACAAGTAATCATCAAATGCTTAGATCACTTCTGTACTACATGAATGTGAAAGTGACCAGTTCACAAGAAGAATTCAAATGTAAAATATACTAAAACAGTACTGAACAAAAAAAAAATTTCTGAATTAATTTCATTTATCAATACACAACTGTGAATGCATGGGATTGGTCATTTGTTGGAATTGACCATTTGACTTGACTACTCCATTGTCTTTTCGAATAAATTGAATTAAGAAGTTCAGTTTAGATTTGTGTTTGTCATATTGACAGATATATATATCTATTGTATTTTTGTATACTTACTGTCTAGATTGCTACTTCCAATGCACCGCCTACATATCCAAAAGATTTATCTACTGATCTAATTACAGTTCTAGATGATTGTTTTGCACGTAATCCATCTGATCGTCCAACAGCTAATCAATTATTAAATTATGCCGTATTTGCACGTCTTATTCATCAACAACAATCAATGACTACAACAACGACATTAGAAGAAAATAATTCATCCATAATATCATCATCAGTGCCTACAACAACAACAACAACAACAACAAATGTGAATGTTGTCACAGAAATGTATAAAAACACCGGCAAATCATCGTTAAAATCTCAATTGAACTCAATCAAATCCAATAGAAAATCGTCATTTAATTATCAACGTTTATTGAAAACATTTCAATCGAATAAAATTAATTCTTCCGTGAATCATAAAAAAGTGATTGTCGTTGAAGAGGTGGAAAATGAACATAGTGAATATCATAATAATAATAATAATAATCATGGTGATGATGATGCTGACAGTTTTAGGAATGATAGTAAAGTTTTGACTTTAGCTAAACAACTAACACACAGTCACCAGCATTCGGATAAATTTTCGTTAAAACAACAACAACAACACAATCAATATTTTGATGATGATGATAGTGGACTACTAGTGACTAGACGAAGAAAACCACGACGACCAACTCCTCTAACTGGATTAAATTTTCATAAAAAATCTCGTTCACATAATACTACACGTGTTAATTTGTCATCTTTTAAATTATCATAACAATTAGATGATTTCAAGTGTTTGTTATTCCATGTGTATGTGTGTGTGTATGTGTCTGTGTAGATGATATATTGATCATTTTGTCAGGGATACAATTTTCATACATTGAATGAAACATGTACATCTTGAATGGAAAGTGCATCTTTTTGAGAAAAAAAAAACAAACACAATTATTAGGTAAGTTTGCCTACTTTTTGAAAGTGTACTATAAACAAACAATAATAATCGTGAAAAAATTTGTAGCTCAGGTGGATGATTGTGGTGGTGTTTGGTTCTCTGAGTTTGATGTTTTGGTTGTGGAGCTTTCATTGTTCTTCTGTTGAACAACATCATCAGTACAAACTTCAGACAGCAGAAGTGAAGCATTCGAATTTCTCCACGTTTGACCTGTAGCTTGTTCTGTTAACCTCGATCTTGATTGATTGTAGTTGACCTTAAACCTGTCGTCGGAAGCCAACCCACACAGACGTAATTCTCAACTACGATAGCAACAACCCAATAACCCACAAAATCAACTGCATACAAACTTTGTTCAAGAGAGCGAAAACACACTGCAGCACATACGAATCACTAAAAAACGAGGAAAAACACCTTCCAAACGAACGGCTATCCACGCAACTTCATCAAAAAACATCAACTGAAACCGTCAACAGAAGTGAAATCAAGTACCGGAACCAATAAACGGATCATCCTACCATACGTAAACGACATACTGGAGCATACAGCACGACTACTGAAACCACTTGGAATAGGTGTGTGGCACACAAACCAACAGAATCACTTCAATCAATCCTATGCAGACCAAAAGACAAAATAACAAAGGAAGAAAAACCAAATACCATCTACAAAATAAATTGCTCAGACTGTGAAGAACACTACATAGGACAAAGTGGACAACCTCTTCGGCATCGTTTACGTAAACAACAATTAGCAGTCAAACGTCAGGACATTTCTTCACTTGTATCAATACACACCGACAATTATGAACACACGTTCGATTGGAACAATGTGGAAATACTAGGTAGGGGGAGGACAAAAAACACTAGAGAATTTTTAGAAGCTTGGCACTCAGGTCAATCAGCAATCAACAAACACATCGACATTGACCCAATTTATCAACTAATCAGAAAAATCATAGGTGACATAAGATCAAG